GCCAGGCACAGTGGTGATGCACACCTATAGTCCCAGCTAGAGGCCAAAGAGGGAAGATCGCTTGAGCCCAGGAATTCAAGTACAGCCTGGGCAACATAGCAAGACCCTGTCTTTAAAAAAAAAAGCTGAAAAAATTAAACAACGGAAAATACACTAGATTTAGAATCCAAAAACCTGCGTTTATTCTGGTTGCCACTCACTAGTACAACACTCAGTTTCTTCTCTTATAAAATAGGGATAATAATACTCAGATTTATTAATAGGCAAACAGACACTGGACTAGGGATACAACAAATACATAGTATTTGATGTAGTCCCTTACCTCAAGGATCTTATAATTTCCTATCTCACAGGGCTGTTGTGAAGATCAAATATAAAAACACTGCAAACTGTAACATGCTATATACATTGCAGAGTAGTATAATTATTACTATTAACTTGTTCTACCTCTTAACCATCTACCTTTATTGCAAGAGCTTAGCAAAATCCAATAAATAAAGTATAAATGATCAGATAGAATAGTTAGCATTTAACTGATTTTCCACTTCAGCTAGAATTCAGGAGCCAAAAAAAATCTCTTATTTGTTAGAATAGTCTTAACTCATGACTTTCGATATAACCATGAAAATAAAATAAACTGAGAATCCAAGGTTTATAACCTATAGTGTCACTCTGGGCATGTGACTAAGTATGTGGGTTGCATTACCCACACCTACCAAAGGAGAAAAAAAATAAAGATTTCTAGGCTCCATGAAAGATTTACTGAATCGCAACTCTTAAAAGGTGAGCCTGAAAATCTATACTTTTGACAAGCATGCCCAAGTGATTCTTATGCACACTAAAGCTTGAGAACCACTGCCATAAAATTTCCTTTGATCAATAACCATGATTTCATACATTATTACCAAAATCTACCTAGAAAATTTGAGCCAAACAGAACTCAGTTACAATTGAGAAAGCAGCTCTTGAGAAGGTAGTCAATATTACATGACTCACACTTAACTTGTAAAAATACTTTTCATAGCACCAACCTCTTTTTATTCAATGATTTTCAAGCTTTCACACAAAATGAAGTAAAAAAACCTAACTCTCTGTAAACAAATTGATATACATAGTTTTAATTTATATTATGGCTTAACTTTAATAAGGAAAAGTTGATGGATCTATCATCTGGTAGCTATCAAGGAAAAAGCACATACTCCTTGACTAACAAATATATCATGATTTTGAATGCTTGCAAGCCAACCTTACTAGTCCATGCTTAAAGACCACACTGCCCAAATGTCAAAGAGACAAAACAAATAGCTAATAGACAAACCTAATCCCTCAAAAATACAAACAATATCCTTATCTACTGTATAACAAAATCCCCCTAAAGGTATCTCTCGAGAAATCAATCAAGCACTCTTGGAACTACTTTTACCTTAAGAAAATTAACCTGAAATCAAACGTTTCTTCATATACTGTATAATTAGTGAAAAGACATATTTATTTTGGTTCTATTTGTTGAAAGCATTCTTCATTCATTAGCCTCCAGGTATATACACATCAAAGAGAAGAAAGGCACTCAGTACATGTTACTCTGGGAAAAATTACAAGGTGGAAACTAACATTGCTAGTCAAGAAAACTTTCCATCTGCAGTAAAATTTATAGCCCAGAGGGCTTGTTCGTACTGCAGTACCAAGCCCTGCAACATGACTCTTTCCCAAATCAGTTAGAGTCGAGTCAGTTTTGAAAGGAGAAAGGACAAACTGAACCATACTGGCTCCAATTTAGTTTAACCATTGTTCCAACATTTGAGGAGGACAGAGCCTTGGTAAGCAGACTTTAAAGAAACACAAAGAAGTTTAGGTTCTTATTTGTGTGCTAGCTTATATCCTCTTAAATCTCAAAGTTACTCTGTTCTTTCACACCTATGTCAGTTGTCCAAACAACTGCAATACAGGAAAAATGAAATAAAAACAATTTGTATATGGCAGAAAAGAGTCTAAAATAGGGAAAAGTATTAATTAAACAGCAATTGTTAAGGTCCAGACATCCACCTAAGACTTGATGCAAACTACATCTACACAATTGTACTCCATCTGTCCCTAATTATGACCCTACCTGGCACTTGATCAACATAGAAAGCTTTCCTGGGACAACAGAGGTTAACTGAAAGAACCTGGATGAGAGACAAATAAAAACCTCTAAGGAATGTTGCCCTAAAAATGCTTTAGGAAAATGAGCATCAACCTCACCAAGATGAAAACAAGTAGCAGGCACGATATCCCTCAAGAAACACATCTATATGGTTGCTGATTTCCTCCTCTTACTTGAAAACCTAAAGAGAAGATGCAGACTTTGGAAGACAGGAAAGACAGGAAGGAAAGAAAAAAAAAACTCTATAGTTGAGGTCTCAGAGGATTTGCCAACCAGTTAGGCTTTGTGTTGCAACTATCAGTACTTCCACTATAGTACCAGAGAAGTTTCAAAGAATTTAGAAATCAAAATACATACAGTTGGAAGGATGAGAAACCAATGCCAGGAAGATTTCTGATCATCACACCCTTCTAGAGAGAGGTCTTCTAGGCAGAGTGTTCTTTTCCCCTGCCCACTATTATAAAAGAGACAAAGTTCTCTACTCACCACCAAGGATGTGCCAAAAAGTAATGTCTCTGCTCTAGAAAGCAAAAATTTCCTATGTTCCTAGTCCAGAACCTGAGTCTGAGGCAAGTCCTTCTACCTGTTGTCCTGAGGGATTATCTGAGGTCTCCTTTAAAGTGTATGTTTGGGCTCTGCTGCAGAAGCCACAGTAAAGGCAAGAAGCCACCTACTATGAATGACTATTGGTGTATATATATGTGTCTGTCTGTGTATATTTGCAGAGACAGATCCCGTTAGCTGTAGTCTCCCACAGAATTATTAGTTTTAGTTTAGTTTCTTTAGATCCTATAGAGAGTAAATAATTTAGAACTTTATGATAAATTTATAATTTGAAATACATTAGTTTTAAATTTAAAAATAAACATCTGGTCAACCTTGTTTGAGATTTTAAAAAAAAATCTGGGTCCAAAGTTAATTTCCAAAGGGAAAGGAAAATGACTATTCCAGCAGTTTCTATCAGAAGGAAACATCAGCCACAGATTTTGAGTTATCTAGAGAGAAAATAATTAGGTGCCCAGGTACAAGAAATCTAAGGGTCATTACTGCATTCTATATCTGAATGCCCTGTCCCCCAAAAGATTAAGAATATATTACCAAAGAATACTAGAAAATAGTATGCAGGACATTAATGAAAAAAGAAAGCATCTGTTTACAGAAAGGACAGAGGAAAGGTATAATGCCTCCAAACACTTTCTTAGCTAAGCAACTATTCCTTGAGGTGGAAGGGGTGAGGAAACAGAATGAGTGGATATCATAGAGTAAAAATGTCAAGGAGAAGGGCAGGGGGCACAAGATGAAGAAGAAGGAATGGACTCCCCTATAAAGCCAGACTTTCAAGATACTACCTACTTTGCAAACCTTGGGTATACCTACTGTTCCACAAGAAGAAACTGAAGGTTGTAGAAATTACAATTAAAATAAAATTTATAAAAAATGAAAAAGACTGTATATGCACAAATCCCAACATTGAGGGAGAGAGCAAAAGTGTGAAAAAAGATTACACAACATAAACTCAGTAAGGAGAGAAATATAGAATGGAAGACCACTGAGGAGGATGGAGACAATGAGGGCATATACCACCCACAAGTCAACCAGCAATCTCTACATGAATTTCAATACAAAGTACAAAAACACAAACGTAACGCCTAGATTAGGGTAGTGGAGGAGGTGTGCACAGAAATTGCAAGACAAGTCAGCATTCCTGCAAGAGGTTTAAGGGATGTGGAGGGGAAGTAGGGATGAAGGAGTACGAAGGGGAGGGACTGCAGCAGGGGAAGAGGGTGGGTTGCAGCAGCAGAAGACGCCTTAGAAAGAAAGAAAAGGGAAAGCAATCTAGAAGAGAGAAAGACTAGGATAAAGTCAAGAGCCGTATCACAAGAGGACAAAGTAGCAGAGAGAATGGAGACAGGAATGCCCTCAAAAAGTGGAGCGGTCAAAGACCCAAAAGGGGCTTGTAGTTTGGGGGGAACTAGGAGAGCTCTACCATAAACCTGACTGGACTAGAAAGAAGTGTGAGCACAGCGCAAGAGTGAAGACGGGGCCAGAACACGAATGCTCTCAGTGGGATGTGTTGACAAAGACCCTAGATTCAAAACCAGGGTGAAATACGTGGACCATCGAGAAGAGAAACTAGTGTCAAACACCAAGCACGTCCTCCCCAAAAGGCATGCATGGGTCAGAAAAGAAGGTATACTCTTGGAATATGAATACTAAAAGGAGGGGAGGAAAGGGACACACAGTAGGCAAAATTTAGGGGGTGCTTAACCATAACGAGAGGATAACCAAGGAAAGAAAAGGAGCGAAGTAGAGAGGGATTATGTTTCCAGAGGAAAAGTAGGAGCAGAACAGAGGTCCAGCTTACTCGGTCTAGAGGGCAGAAGAGACAGTCCACAGGGCTGAGCAGAGTGGTGGAGAACAAGAAACTATGATGCTAAAGATGAGAACTTGGGAAGGACTCGGAACTGGCTGGGTCAGAAAAAGAGATGCCGTCAGTAAGGAGCAGAAGAGGCTCATCATGAGGAGGGCGAGGGGGAGTGAAAGCAGCATGCCAAACGCAAAAGCAAAGGGGCAGAAAAGAACCCTAAGGAATCGGGCCAGGGGTAAATGCAATGGGGGCGCAAGGACATAAACTACAGAGGGGAGACGGGAGTCGCAGAAACCCAGGGTGTGTGGGGGGAGAGGGTGAACCCACAAGAGGTGCCCGGCAGCCGAGGCCTGAAAGGGGCGGGGGTCCCGAGAGCCGGTTCGGGGGTTGGGGGAGGTGCGGCCTGAGGGTGACAGGGGAAGAGGCGAAATGCAGGGACAGGCGGAGGGGGATGGAGAGGGTGGGGCAGCGGACGGTCCCGATACTCACACCTCCAGGATGCGGTCCCCCTTGCGCACCCCGGCGCGATCGGCCGCCCCCCCGGGCAGCACGGCGCTCACATGCTGCAGCGGCGCGTACAGCTCCCCGTTGATGCTCCGCAGTTGCCCGCCCTCGCTCACTTGGCCCCGCACGTTGAAGCCGTAGCCGGACTCGGACTTGACGATGCGCACGACCCGCGGGCCGCCGCCTACTCCGCCGCCGTTCCCGGCGCAGTAGAACCCAGACCCCCCACTGCCGCCGCCACCTCCGTTCCTGTGAGGGGCTGAGGGGTGAATCCCGTCCCCGTCCTCGTCCGCCATCTTGCGAGCAAGCGAGCCGTACCCCCGCCCCCTACGCCTCCACTCCCTCCTGGAGCGCGCTCGCCCTTCCCAGCAGCCGCGCGACCCCCGACGCGCGCGCCCGCTTCGCCGGCCCCGGGACAGAGTCGGCCACGGAGCTGCCGGCAGGGGGTAAAGGGGAGGCAAGGGGCGGGGGGAAAGCGGGCTGTTGGGCGTCGTGGGGCCTCCTGGGAGATGTAGTTTCTAGGCGGAGGGGCGGGGAGAAGGCTGGGCCCGGGCCTGAGCGGAGGTTGTGGGATGCCTTGCGGGAGCAAGGCCTGCTGGGAGTTGTAGTTTCTCTTTAATGATCTATTAGGAATTTGGTCTTCTGTTGGGTGGTGAACGTCTAAGTCAGCAGCCAGCGTGGCAAAATGATGCAGCTGTTGATGCGGGGCCAGTTTTTATTTATTTTCTTCTTCTTCAAATCTCTAAAAACAATAATGTTAGGATAAATTGACTTTTGTGATTCAACACAGTATTAAATTATATTAACTCATTTGCTCCGTAACTTGTGTTCACAAGGCCCGAACAATCTGTGAGACAACTGGATGATGAATTAGTTTCCATATTTCACATGTTAGAAAACTAAACCTTAGAGTGCTCAAAGCCATCCAGCTATTAACTATCAGGAACTAAGGTCCAGTTATATTTGAACAAATTTCTTGTCCTGTATTGCAACTACAGTTGTGAGGCGGATAGCATTTTGGTCTACAACAAACTGCAAATAGGTTGGTGGCCTCATAAGATTATAATGGAGAAGAAAAATTCCTGTCACTTAGTGACATAATAACCATCACATCATAGTGCACACATTACCTCACGTGTTTGTTGTGGTGCTGGTGTAAGCAAACCTATCTGGATGCCAGTCTTATAAATGTTTAGCACATAAAATTATGTATAGTACATAATACTTGATAATGGTAATAACTATATTACTGATTTATGTATTCACTATACTTTTAATCATTATTTTAGAGCAAGGGTCCTCAAACTTTTTAAACAGGGGGCCAGTTCACTGTCCCTCAGACCACTGAAGGGCCATTGGAGAGTGCGGCACACTTGCGCACTGTGGGCTCAGGATGAGCTGGCTGCTAAGCGGGACAGGCAGCAGCAGCAAAAACACCCAGCTAGGCTGGATAAATGTCCTCTGCGGGTCGCTTGTGGCCTGTCGGCTGTAGTTTGAGGATGCCTGTTTTAGAGTATACTTCTACTTATTTAAAAAAAGGACCTCAGGCAGGTCCTTCAGGAGGTATTCCAGAAGAAGAGATCGTTATCACAGGCGATGTCAGCTCCATGCATGTTATTGCCCCTGAAGACTTTCCAGTGGGACAAAATATAGAGGTGGAAGATAGTGATATTGATGATCCTAACTCTGTATAGACCTAAGCTAATATGTGTGTTTGTGTCTTAGTTTTTATTATAATGCAAATATTTAAAAAGTAAATTTAAAAATTTTTTTAATAAAAAAGATCTTACAGGGTAAAGATATAAAGAAAGAGCTGGACGCGGTGGCTCATGCCTATAATCCTAGCATTCTGGCTGGAGGATAGTTTGAGCTCAGGAGTTCAAGACCAGCCTGAGCAAGAGCGAGACTCTGTCTCTACTAAAAATAAAAAGAAATTAGCTGGACAACTAAAAAATATATATTAAAAAATTATCTGGGCATGGTGTTGCATGCCGGTAGTCCCAGCTACTCAGGAGGCTGAGGCAGGAGGATTGCTTGAGCCCAGGAGTTTGAGGTTGCTGTGAGCTAGGCTGACACCACAGCACTCTAGCCTGGGCAACAGAGTGAGACTCTGTCTCAAAAAAAAAGATATAAAGAAAGAAAATATTTTTGCACTGTTGTATAATGTGTTTGTGTTTCAAAAACAGTCACAAAGTTAAAAAAATTAAAAACTCTGAGAGTGTATTTGAGTGTAAGAATAAAAAAATAAAAAAAATAAAAAAAAATTAAAAAGAATTATAAAGTAAAAAAGTTATAGTAAGCTAAAGTTAATTTATTGATGAAGGAGAAAAATTTTTTATAAATTTAGTACAGCCTAAATTTACAGTGTTTATGAAATCTACTGTGATGTACCAGTATAGGCCTTCCAATTCACTCACTGTTGTCACTCACTGACTCACCCAGAGCAACTTCCAGTCTTTCATGGTAAATGCCTTATACAACAGTTTTTATCTTTTATACTGTATTTTTACTGTACCGTTTCTATGTTTAGATACATAAATACTTACTGTTGTGTTACAGTTGCCTACAGTATTCTGCACAGTAACATGTTGTACAGGTTTGTAGCCTAGAAGCAATATGCTACACCATATAGCCAAGGTATATAGTAGTCTTTACCATCTAGGTTTGTATAAGTATACTCTGTGATGTTTGCACAATGATGAAATCACCTAATGGTAGATTTCTCAGAACCCTCATCATTAAGTAACACATGACTGTACCTAAAAACTATGCCCCAACTATACAGAAAGCATACATAGGCCAAGTGCAGTGGCTCACACCTGTAATCCCAGCACTTTGGGAGGCCAAGGCGAGAGAAATGCTGAGGCCACAAGTTGGAGACCAGCCTGGGCAATATAGCAAGACCCCATCTCTCCAAAAAATTAAGAAATTAGTCAGGCTTAGTGGTGCACACCTGCAGTCCTAGCTACTAAGGAGGCTGAGATGGGAGGATCACTTGAGCCCAGGAGTTTGAGGCTGTAGAGAGCTATAATTACATCACTACACTCGAGGCTGGGCAACAGAGCAAGACCCTGTCTCTTTAAAAAAGAAAAAGAAAACAAAAACTTGTGTAGAGAGGAAACTATGGTCTCAGTGATTTCGAACTGGATATTAGAGTGGCCAAGTAATAATTTGAATTTGGCAATAATTTTCAAGTTACCTTTATGTCTTTTTTTTCCTGTTTTTGAAAGCTTTAAAAAATCCTTTTTGTAAAAAGTTAAAATACAGATAATAATGTAAATGTCTTTTCAATCCTTAGTGTTAAGAGCTTCAAGTATCTCCACCAGACTTTTTCATACAAGTCAACTTCAAGCACTCTGGGAGGCTGAGATAGGAGGATTGCTTAAGGCCAGTGTTCAAGACCACCCTGAGCAAGAGCAAGACCCCATCTCTATTTAAAAAAAAAAAAGAAGAAGAAGAAAAAAAAACAACTTCAGTTGAAAGACCTTCCTACTACTAAGTACTGAGTACTTAGTAAGTACTAATTGGGGATCCTGGGAAAAGGCAGGTATATATCTTTGCCTTTGCTTCTTTAACCAACTTGTCACAAGTTCCACAGTGGTACAATTTGTCATAGTCAAAAAATTCCTCTTCATGGGCATTTATTGAAACCTTAAAATCTGTACCCCCATAATATGCCGAAATAAAAAAAAATTAAAAAAAAAAACAAAGAATTTCAATAAAATCATATGCCTCATCAAAAAAAAAAAAAATTCCTCTTCTACATGTGTGTTCCAGAGTTCATCTTCCAAACCAGTTACATTTTTGACTGCTACTGTTAGACCTAAGAAGTCTTCCTGCTTCTCACTGATATTCTTACATTCTTTACAAACAATCTGCTTAACAAAGGTTCAGTGGTGCAAATGAAGTCATGGCCACAGGTCCCAACTAAAGACATTTCCAAAACACTGAAGAGAATTTGATTCAGTTCCTGCACATCGTGTTGCCTCATTTCCCCATTGCTGGTCCACCGGAAGCTGTCAGTGAGATCTGCTGTGGATGCAGCTTCCTGGTCTAAGAGCAGAAGCTGAGCAAAACAAGCCCTGTGACTGTAAAGGGATAACTCGAATCTTCACATCAGATTTATCCTTTTTTTTTCAGACAGAGTCTCGCTTTGTTGCCCAGGCTAGAGTGAGTGCCAGGGCGTCAGCCTAGCTCACAGCAACCTCAAACTCCTGGGCTCAAGCAATCCTGCTGCCTCAGCCTCCCGAGTAGCTGGGACTACAGGCATGCGCCACCATGCCCGGCTAATTTTTTCCTATAAGTATTAGTTGGCCAATTAATTTCTTTCTATTTATAGTAGAGACGGGGTCTCGCTCTTGCTCAGGCTGGTTTTCAACTCCTGACCTCGAGCAATCCACTGGCCTCGGCCTCCCAGAGTGCTAGGATTACAGGCGTGAGCCACCGCGCCCAGCCTCGGATTTATCCTTATCTTCGAACAAACCAAGCTTTTCTGGACCAAGAGAAAATAAAGTTTCTTTGAACTCAGGTGTGAAATGAAGAATCTGAAGAAGGAAATTGAGGTAACAAATTCCACCCAGATTTCTGATTCCACTTAAATTGGTGCATTCTCTAAAAGCAGGTGCCTCCAAAGCTTTAGTCTGTAATTTCTTCCCTCTTCCATACTGCTTTTTTGACACACTGAAATAATCCTCTTCAAAGAGGCCCCCAAACATTGTGAACCTGAATACTACCGGCCCAAAGCGCAGACCCACGCTGGCCAAAACATAACGAAACCAAGCCGCCCCAGCTGGGCGCCACCATGTTGGCCAGGAGAAGTTACCTTTATTTCAAATTGTTTGTTTTCCCCAACAGTACAACAGAGTTCTTTGCAAATGGCAGCAATTAGTGTTTTTTGGCCTCCTACCAAAACACAAATTTTTGTGGATATTGTACAGAGTGTGTAGTGAAGGCAAGTGGAAGAACAAGAGCAAAAATAATGAAAATAGCTTACTTAATTTAAGTGATTACTGCTCAAGTCTGGGATTTGATTTTACTCAACCGATAGGGTAATAAGTTAGTTTGTTACTGTTTCATGCATACTGTGTAACAGCGGTCCCTAACGTTTTTGGCACCAGGGACTGCTTTCATGGAAGGCAATTTTTTCCATGGATGCTGGGCGGGACAGGGGCCGAGCTCAGGGGATGATGCAAGGCTGGGTTTCTAACAGGCCGTGGACAGCTGTGGCCAGGGGCAGTTGGGGATCGCAGCTGTAGAAGACACAAGATTCATGGGTCAGAGACAAAGGATTATTATCAGGACACGGGAAGCAACATGAGCTTTGGCATGTTTGTGTCAGTTACCCTTGCCCCCCAAATCCTACCAGGATGAAACGAAGGGCTAAGATAGATGCTGTGCACTTACTTTACATCTTATCTGAGGAACGAGTTTGGGGAACATGCCATTTTATAGGAAGCAGTAAAAAAAACCTGTTCTTTGTCTTGGAAGG